TGAAGGGAAAGTACAGTAGAATGCAGAAGAAGACATTTCAACACTTCAGCAATTAAAAAAGACACACTAATGTTCGTCTAGAGTAACTTGTGATTATTAGTACGCTTGAACTGCATCATCGAAGCTCAGAAGCAAATAGAACTGGATTAAATACATAAAGGATATTTGTGTTGCATTTAATTATTGCAGGTTTGCGTCATATTCTGAGTTGCATTATTCAAAAACTAAGAAGAAACATAGTTATTTAAACAAAAAAAACATCAAATATGAAATGTAACGCAGGGAATTCTGGGAATGTCAATTTACGGTTATTCACTGTAAATTATACAATTACTTTTTCTTTTTCACTTCTAAAAAACGTATTTTTTTAACAGTATTCTACTGTAAAATTACATTAAATGTAATTACATTTATTCACCGAATATAGTATGGAAATTACTGTTAAAATCACAATCATTGTGGTTTTTTGGTTAATTTTTAAGACTAGATCAGGGTTCCTCAAATCTTGCCCTGGAGGTCCAATACGCTGCAGAGTTTAGCTCAACCCTGATCAAACTCAGCTACCTGTGATTATCTAATGATCCGGAAGACATTGATTAGCATGCTCAGGTGTGTTTGATTAGGGTTAGAGCTAAACTCTGCAGGAAAGTGGATCTCGTGGGCCAGATTTGAGGATCCCTGGACTAGATCAAGAATAGAGAACATTTTTTGAGTGATAAAATCCACACGTGCCAGATCTGAGAAATATATTAGCCTGTAACCTGCTGAGAAAAATATATATATATATATATACACTACTGTTCACAAGATTGGGATCCGATTTTTTTAAGAAGTCTCTACTGCTCATCTTTTTGAAAAAAATAAATAAAAAAAATGCCAGCAACAGTAATATTGTGAAATATAATTACAATAACGGTTTCTGTTTTGATATGCTTTAAAATATTATTTATTCCTGTGATCAAAGCTGAATTCTCATCAACCATAATCCGTGTCACATGATCCTTCAAAAATCATCTTGATTTATCAATGATGTGAAACTCGTGATACTTTTTAACAGATGAATAAAAAGTTGATAAGAACAGCATTTATTCAAAACTACCGTTGAAAGTTTAAAAAGTTTTTTTTTTGTTGAAAGGAACATACTTTTATTCAGCGAGGATCTGCTAAATTGATAAAAAGTGATAGTAAAGACTTACATTGTCACAAAAGATTTCTATTTAGAATAAATCCTGTGCTTTTTTTTAACATTTTATCAAAGAATTCTGAAAAAAGTAACACAGGATCCAAAAATGTATCACAGGTTTCCAGCCACCGCAGCACAAGCGCCACACTTAAAATCACACCTTACTATTTCGTAACGTGTTATCTTCTACTTTAACGCAACGAGTCCCGGTCTATATCGCTCGAAACAGCACAACACGTCTGTATTAATTATGCCAATAAACCATTAGCAGTTCAGCAGCGAACTTTAGCTGTAATTGAGTGTTGTTTCAGTCTGATCGACAGGAGCCGCAGTGAAAATGGTCCCCCATCTACAGCTCAGAAACGCTCGCTCGAGTGCGCCTCGTGTTGTCCTCGCGTCGCTCGTCGCTGCGGTGTGTGTTCGCGTGGGGTTCAGCGGCAGTGCAGAGCTCGATGCGGGGAAATGTGTGGTTTGGGGACCTGGACTGAGTCCTGCTGCTGTACTTCCGGTCAGATATTTCTACATCCAGAGCGTGGACTCAGAGGGACGCAACATCAGCGTGTCTCCCGGTGAGAGAGGTGTATAGAGATAATCATTAAAAATGCATTTCAGGGACAAGCGACTTACACACGAGGACAACAGAAGCGATCTACTGTAGTATTAAAACAACTAAAAACAGATCCAAAAGTAAAAGTTAAAACTTCATAAATGCTACCTATACACATTTTAAAAATAAAGAGATTAAATAAAATTGACAAATGCATGCAACAGAATTTCAAAACGTAACATTTAAATGAAAAAATAAAACTAAAAAATATTCAAAATATTAAAGAACAAAAGGTATGAGAGTATAATATTGATTCTAGCATAACACTAAGCCAAACACCAAAAACACAACAACTGTGTGTGTGTGTGTGTGTGTGTGTGTGTGTGTGTGTGCATCTGTGAGTGTGTGTGTGAGAGTGTGTGTGTCTGTGAGTGAGTGTGTGTGTGTGTGTGAGTGTGACTGTGTGTGTACGTTAGAGAGTGTGTGTGTGTACGTTAGAGAGCGTCTGTGAGTGAGTGAGTGTGTGTGTGTGAGTGTGACTGTGTGTGTACGTTAGAGAGTGTGTGTGTGTAATTTCCATTTAGTTTGTTGAAGTATTAAAATAACTCAAATTAAATAAATCTAAAAACTACATATACAGACATAATGCATTCAGACATAATGCAACTAAAATTCAAATAAATAACAAATACAAATAATACAAATCACATGACAGTAGCTTATCAGTAATCCTAAAAATAACACAACAACTGTGTTAAAAATAAAAGAACAGCTTACTGACACGTATAAGAAATGGTTATAAGAACTGAAACGGAAGCGAAACAAGTAATAGGAAAGAGGAGAAATAAAAAGCAATACTTATAAATATATATATATATATTTTTTATATACCCCAAAATATATTTTTTCAATGTTTTAAAAAAAATATATATAAATTTAAAACATATTTTACATGCATACATAAAAAGGCCAAAAATATACTGGTAGAAAATATATTTATGTAAATGTATTTTGAAGCTTATTTTATAAAAAAAAAAATTGGCCTATATATATATATATAGAAAAAATTTGGCCATTTTTTAAATATATTTTTTAAATATAATTAAAACTATATTTGAAAAAAAAAAAAAAGCTATATATATATATAAGGGTGTCATCCTAAAGAATAAATGTACATCAATCTTAAAGTTTCTGAATGCTCAACTGTACGTTCTGCTGTTTATGAATGCTTTTATTACGGATGAGCAGACTTTAGTTGCTGTTGGTTTGTTCTTCAGTCTGTAGTGCCGTATGTAGTGTTCGCTCCCCTCGTGCAGACTGAGTGTCAGCAGTGTTTATGTGGTTTGTATTCTGCTGGTTTCAGCTGCAGACTCGTTCAGAGTGAAGATATCGTCTCTGGAGCAGCAGTATGTTCGTGTTCATGTCCCAGCTCCGTTAGATCGAGGCGACGGCTCTCTTCTGGTCCGATACAGACTCTACGGAAGCTCCTCGAAGGGTCTACAGATTGAAGTCTTGTATCAAGACAGGCCTGTGGCAGACTCTTCCAGATT